TCAAGTGGGAGTCCAAGAATGAGTTGGGTGAGGATATTGAAAATCAGATGGTACAATCTGAAAGTCTGGTCGTTAAAACTGAATTCACAGAGCCGAAAAATTGCACAGCTAAACTCTTTAGATCAACTGATCTAACAAAAAAGGTATATGTACCTATATAAGAGAGGTTAACAATGAAAATATAAACGACCTAAAAGTTTCTAACGGATAGTCTGAGTTCGTAATCAGAAACTATATAGTTTACTGGTAGACCAAAACATCGAGGAAGAAGGTCTACATATCAGAACTTCATAATCTACAATGACGAATCAGAAAACGCAGAAAAAGGAGTATAGAAGATAATATAGATAAATATAAAGGAATCAAAGGGCTGCACTTAGTGATAAACCACTTGTCCACTTTGTAATACTTTACTTCAAATTGTATAGTTGGATCTACCGTTACTCCCCATTCACTCTACTGCACTTTTAAAAGAAATGCAAATCCAGAACAATTCCCAAAAAGATTTCTTTTCACTAACCCGATATGAATGAACATGTAGGTGCCGAATCGCCATACTTCACTCTTGCGATATGGATTGAATATAAGAGGCGATTTGGTGGGCACTGGTCCCGTCATGCTCACTCCTTCTCCCGACTCAACGGTATAGTAGACGTAGATGCCTACCTAAAGTATGTATGCAATGTGCTTTATGAGTCTAAATGTAAGTAATAATAGGACTCATACCTGGATGATACTTACAATAAGCATAAATATAGGCGGCGGACAGCATTTGTATCTAAACCATAGTCGTATGGCATTAGTACATATAAAGATAATATTAAAAATCATTTAAAAGTTAAATAATTCAGTGCCTGTTCAAGAGTATTTTATCTCCTTCTTACATATTTAGACACACATATTTGCTATCTACTTTTATGAAATACGCGCTCACTTTTGTAGGTAATCGAAAGGTTCCGTCCGTTTCGATTTTGGCACAACGATTTGAGCAGCTCTGAACATCAAATGCAGAAGGCGACGGTGTTTCACACGACTCATCTGAATACATTACTAAGTCATTTGAAACAACATACAAGCTGAAGCATAAAGTATATTTTTGCAAAGCTTCTAGTCCGACTAACGCTTTTAATGTGCAGAGAATCTTTTTTGTTTATTTAACCTCACAATGTGGTAAATTTCACTTTGTTCGCTACATTACATATAGTTTTTCTTATTTTCGTTCTCTTACGTGGTTTCGCTCTCCTACATGTTGTCTCTTACTGACTACAGAGTTTTGCTCTTCAGAAATGGAAGGAAGGATGTTTTTGGATCTGCTTTGTGAAGAACATCAATCAGCCAACACTACTTGCGTAAAAAGAATAAAAACATTATTTTCCACCATTTTCAGGAACTAACATCTCAGATTATGAATTAACAAACATACTCATTAATTTTTTTTGAATTGGATTC